CTTCCCTTCTGTTCTTAATTCTGTCACATTCAAGTTATTGCAAACTTGAGCTTTTAAGGAAAGTTTCAATGGTTTTATAATAAATGATCTTTGTTCATTTCGTGTTAAAAAAAAAACAACACCTGATGGGTTTGGCCCTTTTTGCATCACTTTCTGCATCATCGAATGAGAGAATTGGACCGTAAATCTCTAAGGTTGATTTTTGGCTCTGAAATTCAATGATTTAAGAAAGTCTTAAAAACAGTTCTAGATTGTTGAAAAAGGTAGACAATTTTTGAAGAAATTTTTTCTTTTTCTGAAATAATCCAATTTAGTTGTTAGGCTGCCCAGGTTTTTAAAAAACAGTGTGAAGAAAAGACACGGAGGGAACAACCTGAAAAGGCTACGTACTGTAGGATTCCAAGTCTATGACATTCTGGAAAAGGCAAAACTATGGAGACAGTAGAAAGATCAGTGGTTGCCAGGGACTGGGGCGAGACAGGGATGAATAGGCAGAGCAGAGAAGATTTTTTGGGCAGTAAAATTACTCTGTATGATACTACAATGGTGGGGGCATGTCATTACACATTTGCCCAAACCTAAAGGATGCACAACACCAAGAGTCAACAGTCATGAAAGCTATCAACTCTGGGTGATGATGATGTGTCAATGTAGGTTCATCCATGGTAACAAATGTACCACTCTGGTCAGGGATGTTGAAAATGGAAAAGGCTGTGCTTTGGGCAGGGGGCAGGGAGCAGTGGTATATGGGAAATCTCTGTACCTTTCATTCAATTGTTCTGTGAACCTAAAACTACTCTAAAAAATAAAGTCTACTAAAAACAAGGAAATAAACAATGTGAAAATGGCTCAAACCAGGGATTTGAGGGTTGACTGCAGCTAATTAATGACTGACAAAGACTACAATTTATGTTTCTTAATAAGTTTCATTTTTCTGGAAAAAAAGTGGGAACAATATAAGACATTTTATTTTTGTGATTAATAATATGTTTTTCCAAGTTTGACCCCAATGAATGGTGATTTTCAAACTGTTTCCTGGAGTCCCTTCAAAGGCTACAGAGGGATGGAATGAGGAAAAGAAAAGAGAGGAGAAATTAGTGAGCAAAGCAGGTCAGCTTTATTTTAAAAGGAGGATTCGGCAGCTAAAACAGCTTGAAAACTATTATACTTGAAATGACTGACAGCCCTGGGCACAGTATAAAGATTTGGTACCAAGTTATAAATTGGTTAATTTTGTTGTAATTGATTTCCATAGTCCAAGCCAGTAAAAATATCCGTTAAAAAGACATGTAAACATTTGTTGTAAAGCCTAACAGCCTACAAACTCTAGAAAACCATGTCTATATTTGTGCTTTATTTTGATTTGCTATCGTTTATTGCAGTTACCTTCATCGCAAACTCATGAACTCTTTCACCAGCCCATACTGGATGTGTGTGTGCATCCACTAAACCTGTAATCAATAAATCAAATCACGTTTAAAGTTAAGAAACAGAAAGCACTTAGACAGCAGGCAGACTCTACTATACAGTTCTTAGGAAAGCACGATGGTGGTCAGCCATCTTGGAGGAGGGTGGAGAAGGGAGAATTTGTCTGAGTGGTTCCAAGAAGACTCCCTGCATGGTTGGTCTAGAAGGCTCTAATGGAGGAGGGTGACTCAACATGATGAAAATATCCCCTAAAGAAATACAGCTCCTTTTGCCCAATAAATCCATGCTCACCAAGCAACCTTTTAAAACAGGATGTCAAATCTATTAGCTGAGCAAAACCAAGGAAGAATCTGGGTGTGAAAAAGAATAATACTGTCCCTACCCTCAACTTTGAGCAGGAAAAGTATAAAATCAGAAAGATGAATCTTTCTTTAAGAAAGAAAAATATTTTAATTAAAGAGAAACTATAAAATGGTCACTTGAAACTTTTGTTTATCCCAGTACAATTTGGTAAAGTCCATCCTTCCAGAACATTCAAAGTGCCTTATAGATTAAATGGCTCATTAGTGGTTCCGATCGGAGTAAAATCAAAAGTCCCTACCATATATTCTCTACCATATTCTGCTCTTTCTCATGAGGTTTCACCCTGACTTTCTCTCCTGACCCCCAAGGGCCAGATAGTAGAAGCTCTGTCAGATGCGCACAGCACACAAGTATAAATCCTAGCCTCTGTGTTTGCGCAGAACTCAAAATTTGTGAAATTTGTTTCAGAGGATTACATAAAGCCATAAAACATAGAAACTGTAGGAGATAATGGTCAATAAACTGAGTCTGTTATCAATCACTGAAGATACAAATGAACTTCAATGAAATCTCTAGGGTTTCTTGGTTTATGTTTTTTTCGCCTGGAGATGGGTCCTTTGTTTCATACTCTATACAAATTTAGAGTATATTCCGGAATTACAGAGAGCAATTTGCTGTCTTTGCCTCCCCTATGCCATGGATTAATGAAATTCTTCCAACAGCTTTTGAACCCAAGCCCAGCACAGCTGGTTCTCTTCAACATATGAGTGGGAAGAAGTGGAGTGAATGAATGGGTGTGACTCCCAGCTTGCCCTTCACCTGTTTAGAGATCTTGGGTAAGATATTTCACCCCTAAACATCAGTGTTCTAATCTGCAATGTGTAGATAATGATACTTACCTTCCAGGGCAGTTCGGTTTCATTCAACATGAAAGTGCGTTTGTAAAGCAGCTAGACATTTACTAGTAGAAATTCAATAAATGGTAGCTATTATATTTTCATATCATTGTGAAACCTTGTTTAAAACAAGCTACTACTCTTCCTTTTTACACTACTAAAACTGCTTTCAGGGCTTTACTGAAAAAGAGGTTAATACCTGGCAAGATGCATTTCCCGGAACAGTCAATTCTTTCTTGAAATGTTTCTTCTGAAAACTGTTTTTGGATAGCATCAGCAGGACCGATGGCTTTTATGAACCCATCTCTGAAAAAAAAATCAAGAAATTATGACTAACTTTGGGGAAAATATTGTGAAAATTTTGACCAATGATCACATTATTGATGCCTTTTGGTGTCAGTCAATATTTATTGTATTTCCTTCTCGAGTGTGTGTCTTTGGAAATTGACTCTAGCCACATGCAAGGCAAAAAGTCAAATCAGGTGTAGCAGAGATTGCTAATTGTTCCCCAAGATCAATGTTCCCTTTTCCCACAGTGCTAGATTCCTAAATTTTAGCTGGAGGCATGACCACCCAGAATAAAGACCACCTTTCCGCATCTCCCATCAGCCAGGTGTGGCCACGTGACTAAGTTCTAGCCAATAGGATCGTTTTCTCTGCCTACTTCCTACTGGCTGGAATGTAGACACCATAATGAGAGATGGCACAGCAATCCTGGATGCTGGAGTGCCTGTGAGCAAGAGGGCAGTGCTCAGCTGAGCAAGACAGTAGGGGTCGGGTCTGGATCCTCCGTGGAGTACGGCCATCAACTAGCTCTAGGTTCCTACATCCATGCAATTCTGTTAACTCATTTTAACAAGTTTTTGACGGTAACACTGGGAATGTTTTTATTTCTTTGTTAATTAAAAACAAACACACACAGAGTCCCTAAAAGCTGGGCTCTTACACAACCCTAAGCAGATTCAGATAAGGGATGAGACTTGTGTAATCGCAGTGCCATGGGCTCTCCAATCCAGATGGGCACCCAACCCCCATTACCACTCCAAGTCCACCCTTCCAAACTTTGGCTGTTCTTTTATTCTCAGAAGTGTAAATGAAAATAACTGAAAATGTCCTCTCTTTCTGGTGGCTGAATCTTAATTATCTATCACCCCAAACCATCGCCATCTGAACATTTTCTGTGGTTCTCAAGCTTTGGGGTGCAGACGAAGTGGGTGGGAGATGTGCTTTGTAAAAATTCAGATCTCAGAACTCCACCCATAGAGATCCTGATTCAAAAGACCTGGGGATAGGTGGGGACTGGGTGGAGGGGATTGGATGAAGGTAGTCAAAATGTACAAACTTCCAATTATAAGATAAATAAGTACTAGGGATGTAATGTACAGCATGATAAATATAATGAACACTGCTGTATGTTACTTATGAAAGTTGTTCAGAGAATAAGCCCTAGGAGTTCTGGTCACAAGGAAAAAATTTTTTTCTACTTCTTTGAATTTGTATCTATATGAGAGGATGGATGTTCACTATACTTACTGGTAATCATTTCAAGATGTATGTAAGTCAAATCGTGCTGTTCACCTTAAATCTATACAGTGCTGTATGCCAATTATATCTCAAGAAAACTTGAAAAAAGAAAAAAGATCTGGGGATGGGGGGGCGGCATCAGAAGTCTGTCTTTAAAAAAAAAAATCTCAGGCCGTCTGAGTCAGGTGGTCCCCCGTCCGCACTTCAAGAAGCATTGGAGAGAACCCCTACGCCTTCAGATTGCTGCAATTATATTTTATCAGCAGAAGCGGGATCTTGACGCTCCCCAGTGGGATGTGCAGCTTGAGAGAGGTTTCTTCAACTGAATGACAACCGGAGGCGGCCAAATACATTAGCAACAGGCGCCTAAAAGGCAGGCGTGCCAATGACTCCCTGGGTGCGAAAAGGCTGTTACCGCGTTCCCCTCCACAGCGCACAAGTTACAGAAAGAGCACCAAGCTGGGCCTTGGCTGACCAGTGCCCCACAGCACACGACCCGGGTCGCCCGCAGCTCCAGAGCGCGCGGCCACTTACGTGCCCACCACCAGGCTGGCGCCCTCCAGCACCGCCAGGCTGCGCAGCGCGTCCCGCGCCAGGAAGCGCTCGCCGCGGGCGCACACCAGCACCACTTGCCGCGCGTTCTCCAGCAGGAGGCGGTGGCCGTCCGCCATGTCGCTGCGCACCGCAGGTCTAGCAGAGGCTGTGCGGCTCCTGCCGCTGGCGGCCGGCGGTAGAGGGGACAGGTCCGCAGGCAGGCGGCGCCGCCCCAGGGCCAGCAAGGAGGGGCGGGGCGGGGGCGGGCGCTCGTAGCAGCTGCCAGTCCAGACCGCCGGGGATGCGCGCTTCCCCCCACTACGAACCGGCAAGAAGAGTACCAGCAACGAGAATGATGATTAGTAATAAACGTTATAATGGAATCTTCTCTTTCCTGTTCGCTTTGTTCATGTGGTAAATGTGGTAGAGAGTCCTGTCCCTACTTTACAGGTAAGGAAACTACAGCTCTGCGGAGGGGAGAGAGAAAGGCGGGCTGCGACGATCATGTGACGTGGCGGAAAGGAGTCACCGAGGGCAAGGGGGCCCGGAGTGGGCAGAATGGGGGAGGAGGGGGGCCTGGGTAGGGGCAGGGGCCGGAACCTGAGACAGAGTCCCGGGAGGGGACAGAGTGGGGAGAAACCTCTGACCAGAAACTCGCGGCAGCCTGGGACTCGGGGGGCCGCCCGCAGAGGGAACCCGGGGATGGGGAGGAGAGGGAGGCGGGGGGGGGGGTCGCTCCAGGGTCCGCGCGACCGCGAGTACCGCGCACTTTGCGGTTGGCCTGCTCCGCTCCCGGATCCACTACTACACGGTCCCCGAGATGAAGGAGGAGCAGGGCAGGGGAGGATAGAGCCGAGACTAAAAAATCGATTGGCGCCTTCGCTCATCTTCCCCTATCCTTCCGCCTTCCTGAAGGATAGGTTGGAACGGCTCCTGAATGCAAACTCGTCGAGGTAAGATTGGTTTCAGCTCAGTGTCGCCCACCGCAACTGTATCCGGTGGGGCCTGCCCTCACCGAGATTGGAGACCGAATTAAGTTTGTTTAAAGAAGATGGTCTGTAATTCTTAGCCACATCTCTTCCTGCCTGTCAGTTGCTGTGAATACACTGGCAGGCACTGGGTTTTGAGTTTCTCAAATATTTTATTTTGTTTATACACTTTTATTAGAAGCTCTGTGTTAGGCCTTTCAGGACATTCAAAGATAGGAAGGCCCTTTCCCTGCCCAGCAAAAACTTTACAATCAAAAGGAAGACACTTTATGGACGCAAATAGCATACGATAAAAGAAAGCTGCGGCCAGCAAAACCACAAAATCTAAAAGTCCATTTTTTGTCACTATAAAGCCATTTAAAAACGAAGAACAGAAAGCAAAAACGCCTTTAAATGAACACAATAAATACGAATATACTTAAGCTTCATATTACGGCCATGAAAGAGACAGATCAGACAGGTAGGAAAGAGAGAAAAAGAAGAGGGGGGGAGAATTAAATAGATAATGTGAATAAAAGAGACCCTAAAGGGGAAAAAAATTCATAGATTACTCACAGCTCAGACACACAATCAGAAACAGATGTGTGTCTTTCACAGTTTTAAAAAGAAAGGTATAATATATACAGAGAAATAATACTATAAGAGAAGTATAAAATCCAAACGGAACTTCTTGAACAACCATAGAAACAGTGGAAAATAGAAACACATAAAGTCACTAATTCATAGAGAAATATTAACATTTTGTTTATAAAATTTCTGCTAAAGACTTGAATCTGCTACATTTTGCAATTATAGGCATATTTGCAGATGTTGCAATTAGAGGTATAAACTAAGCATGGGGTGAAATTATAGGCACATAGAAGGCTGTGGGGTTCAGTAAACTTGTCGCAATCCCACTTCTGTAACTTATGAGCTATTTGACCTTGGGCAATTTACTTAATTTCTCTAAGCCTCATTTTCCTCATCCATATCATGGGAATAATTGATTCTACTTCATGGACTTGTTTGAGCTTTAAATAAGATGAAATGTAAATCACGCGGCCCAGTGCCTAGCTCTAAAGAAGTATTATTATTATTACTGGTAGTTTATTTTAATCCTGCTATTTGCCTTGCTGGTCAATTAAGTTAAAGATTTGATTTCAACCAACAGTCCTTCAAAGAATATACCATGTTCTTAAAGCATACAAGCTCTTGGTAAATCTAAAAGAAATCATACTTTTTCTTCACGGGAATTTATATCTGTGGGTGAACTGAGTGTATCCAATTACAGTCCAGATAGACAACATTCCCCAAAAAGCTCCTGCAAACAAGAAGTTTGCAGAAGCAAGAAGGTTAAGAGTGGACTTCTCTCCTCCGGTCATTGTTAAATAATTATAGAGGGGTGAGGATAACACATTTTTCCTCAGAAATAACCAGCATCCCTGTAGCACTTTTTGGTTCACAAAGTACTTTTCACATCATGGGACTCAAATTGGCTATTTCTTTCCCCTACTCTTCCTTCCTCTTGAACTCCAGTAATATTTTCAGTTTGCAAAAGGTGCCGTCAGAAATGTCAACAGAAAAGCCCATACCAAATAGCTAGCTTGACGCCAGCAGGTCCTTAAAGGTCAAGCTGAAGGTAATTTCCTCACCGTCACGCTCTGCTTCTGACCTAATGAAAAGAGGCGGGTCCCAGAGCAGGCCAAGGACCTAGTGGCTCCCGGCTTTCCTGTAAATAAAAAATTGCTAGTGCTGGTCTCCACACACTATCCCAGGACACAGTTCACAGCCCTTTCTCCTAGTATTTGTCCAACTGGGCCGGAATGAGGTGGGAAAAACTTGAAAGGCATTGAGTCTGAGAGAATCTGTCTAAATCTTCATTTGCACGTGGGGGACAAACAGAGCTTTCTATCTCCTAATAAGAGAATCTGCAAATCCATTTTCATTGAATTGTAGAGAGAGTCGTCGAGAAAATCAAACACAAACTGCTTCAGAAAACATGTGCTAGATATTGTTACTGTGAATTCATTTAGAATTGGTCTAGGACTTTAGGTTTGGACATTATAAAACCCCATTCCTAGGGCTTCCCTGGTGGCGCAGTGGTTGAGAGTCCGCCTGCCGATGCAGGGGACATGGGTTCGTGCCCCGGTCCAGGAAGATCCCACATGCCGCAAAGTGGCTGGGCCTGTGAGCCATGGCCGCTGAGCCTGCGCGTCCGGAGCCTGTGCTCCGCAACGGGAGAGGCCACAGCAGTGAGAGGCCCGTGTACCGCAAAAAAAAAAAAAAAAAATTCCTCTTTCTCCACTTCCACAAAGATTGGAATGATAAGAATCAGCCCTAAGGTGAGTCAGATTCCCAAATTTGTATGGATATTGGTGGTCAATTCCTCTCAAACGACCGGGTTTCAATAACTTTAATTCAGGATTCCTTAGGAAAGCTAGTTGTCACTTACCTCTCCTATTCTTTTCAAGTGCTGTGGTTATTCACAAGACAAAGTGGACCAGAAAGAGGACAGATCTGGATATCTACTCTGAAGAAAGTATAAGCAATTATCTCCCTATCAGTCTATCATCAGTAGGCACTTCCCATACATTATCTGTGCTTGGAAATTGCAACAAGGCTGTAAGAAAGGTATGAGTATCCACACTTGATAGAAGCAGCAGCTAAGGTGCACTGAGTTTACTCGGGTAGGCCTAAGAGAAAGAGCTGGGTGGAGTCAGAGGCAGGATTCAAACCTGCCTGTTCCCAAAGGCCAGGGTCTTTCCACAGTGCCATTCGTGCTGCCCCTACGATGACACGCATCAAAGGACCTGACTCAGTCTTTTATATAATGTGGTAACCACGTGTGATTGCATAATGTTAGAATAATGCAAGAATTAAACCAACCTGCATGGTGTTCACTTGGAAGAACAGTATATTTTATACCCACATCCCCTTAGATGTCTAATATTGATAGATATCTCAAACTTACCATGTTCTAACCTGAAACTTCGCTCTTCCCACCCACCCCTTTCCCCAGAGACAGCCTTCTCTGTCTCTGTTGATGGCAACTCCATTCTTTATTTCCTGGGCTCTTTATCTCATACCCCACATCCAAACCACCAGCCAGTCATGTAGTCTCTACTTTCCAGATATATCTAGAATTTGAGTGCCTCTCACCACTTCCACTACTATCCCGAGACCCCATAAGCTCTTGCCTCTCGATGGCCGTAACCTCCCAACAGGCCTCCCGACTTGACCCTCAACCTCTTCTATAGTCTCTTCTCAGCTCAGCAGTCAGAGTGATTCATTTAATGATCTTTATTCCACTGAGTAAATGACCTACAGGGCCCTTGTTGTCTCTTTGACCTTGGCTGTCACTCCCCTCCGTTCACTGTGCTTAAGCTCCACTGGTTTCCTTGCTGTTTCTCAAACACACCAAGTATCTTCCCTCCTCAGAGCGCTTTCTCCATGAGCTTACACTTACATAACACTTACTGTGCTCCTGATGCTGTCCAAAGGGCGGGACATATGCTAACTAACTCCCCTAACAATTCCACAAGGTAGGTGCTATTCTTACCATCTCTTTTGAAAGAGGGGGAAATTGAGGGGTGAGGATGAAGGAGCATAATGAGAGTCCATGCTCTTAATCACAAGCCTGTAAAACTGATGGCTTGCAATCACACACCACCATTTTCAATCCCTGGTTTTCTGAGCTCTTTATCTTTTTCATCCATCAGAAGTTGGATTTGTACATGTCTTTTAGATGTGAATTTGCACCTATTTGCTGTGCAATCCAGCAACATTTTCCCTCTCATTTGGGTACAGAGCCTTTGTTTAGTCATTCTGCTATTTTTATTTTGCACAACGAAGACATTCACCAGCTTCTACTTATTTTTCCTGGTTGGTACACCATATTCGTTTAGTTCGGGAACTTTATAATCCCTTCCTAAGCATAGCTGATTCTCTTCTTCTCCTTTATGGTCATCACCAGCCCTTCATTAATCAATAGGGGGATTAATACATATGGAAATATAGAAGTATAACAACTTCTAGAGACCACTGATTCTCTTTACGTGTGCTATGAATTACCCAAGAGATGAAGTAAGAGCAGACGTCTGCTATTAGCAGTTGGCTTAGAGGAAAGAGAACTTCCAGTTTTTCTATGAGTGAAAAAGTGCCAGAACCTATGGATAAAGGTGTTTATTGCAGATAGACTTTGAGGATAAAGGGAATGAGAGTAGGGATGAGGAAGGGAGTGAATTTAAATAGAAGAATTGAAGAGGGGGAAATGTGACAAGAAAGAGGTGGGCAGAATCTTAAGGGTGGGGATGAGTGCTGAGCATAAATTTAAGAAAATCTCCTGCAAATCTTTAGTATTAGCCATCCAAATTGCAAATACATCAACCCAACAGATTGTTATCAATTTTTCACCAACCTTGCTTTTCTACCTGTCAGAATGAACCTAATGCCTGTGAAAAAACTTCAGTAATCTGGAAAAGTATAGTATCAATGTTGTAGGTTTTTATTAATATTTTCTCTTTTATACGCTTTAATATATTTTTTTTCTCCTGTTCATCTTTGTGTTTATAGTCACTAGAAGTAAAAACACAGGCTAATGAGTAATGATTAGCACCTGGTAGCTCCCATTTACTGAATTCATCCCGTATTCTAGGCATCCTGCTTGGTTGTTTATGTACAACCTCATTGAATCCTCATGAAAGCATTAAGAGGTGGAACTGTTATTCCCATTTTATGGAAGGAAACTGAGGCTCAGAGATGCTAAGGGATTAAAATGTAGGCTCCATGAAAACAATGGTTTTTATCTTTTTTTGTTGTTCTTTTAAAAAAAAATTGCCCTCTCTCCAGCACCCAGAACCGTGCCTGACACACAGTAGGCAGAAATATATTTTGAATGTTAAATGAACTTGCTTACATATCTGTAAGTACCAAATCAAGATTCAAAATCAGATTTGTCCACTCCAAAGTCTGCATTCCTGATCATCTGCTACAGTGCTGCTGGGACATTTGGGTCTTAAATGTGACTCGTTGAGATTACGGAGGCTTATGTCAATATTTAAATGGGCAGGACTTCCCTGGTGCACAGTGGTTGAGAATCCGCCTGCCAATGCAGGGGACACGGGTTCAAGCCCTGGTCCAGGAAGATCCCACATGCCGCGGAGCAATTAAGCCCGTGTGCCACAACTACTGAGCCTGTGCTCTGGAGCCCCGGAGCCACAACTACTGAGCCCATGTGCCACAACTACTGAAGCCCGCTCACCTAGAGCCCATGCCCCACAACAAGAGAAGCCACCGCAACAAGAAGCCCGTGCACCGAAACGAAGAGTAGCCCCCACTCACTGCAATTAGAGAAAGCCCGCGTGCAGCAACGAAGACCCAACACAGCCAAAAATAAATTAATTAAAACAAAAGTATTTAAACGGGCAACCTGAGATAGGATGTTTTGTCCCATTGTTCCTGTTGTGAGCACACCCTTTTATATAAACTCCTGAATACCTTTTTCCCTCAAATGAAAACATCATTGCTATTTTTTTCATTGTAAAAATTACATAAGCTCATTGAGAAATTTGAATGATACAAAAAATATATATAAAAATCTGGACAAGGATTAGCGTGAGGCAAGTGAGGTACTTGCCTTGGGTGCAAAATTTAAGGGGGAGGCAAAAACTCAGCAATCAGAATAAGCAACATTTTAATTCACTATTGTAAGAAATTAAAATTAATGCAAAAAAATCCATGATGAATAAAATATCAAAATTTTAAATAAAGACAAGATCAGTGGGCTGGGACGAAGGTGTGGCAAGTAAGGCACTCACTCTCAGGGTCATACAAGTACAGAAGCAGATCCATGGTTCCGATTTCATGAGGTTTGCTTTGCTTATCACTAGAAGTAAAGGTTGATTACAAAAAATTTTTTAAATCCTAATTAGAATGAGGGGAAAAAAATCTAGAAATGCTTACTAACCAATTCAGCTGGGAGGTCATGGTTTTCTGCATGTGTTCTATAGTTTGAAAGTATCCGATATTGAGAAAAGATTCAAGAAATGGGAAGCCTGATTTTTTTTAATGTCTACTGGGGAGGTCCATTTGCTCTCAAGTTTTCAGTTCCACAGAACCAATCCTTTCAAATCGGTGGAACCTCCAAGAGACCTGCATTTTGAGCAAGACGAGATCGTGAAAATAAAACCAGAACACTTTCCAGTCTCCTGTTTGTGAAGTTTATGTTTAATCAAGGTTGAACGTTCCGATCTTTGTGCTCAGCTTCATATGAGAAGGAATTGAAAACTGGCACAATCCTTCAGACAAAAGAACTTGAAGTTGCTTGTTTAACGAATTAGTAATGAGAAAAGGGCTTGTTGCACATGATAATTTTATATACAATCACTATTTTAACACATTATTTTCGTATATTAGAAATTCTGTTAAACTTTTTCGCTTGGGCAGGAAAAATTTATGAACACAGCATGAAAATCTACCAAAAGTCTACTTTTTCATCCCGAATGAAGAATCATTCATACCTGGGCCAAATGGGAATCTTCGCTGACACAGGTGGTACCTCAACTGAAAAACCGGGGCTAGATCCCACTCTTAGTCTCAGATTTACAGAAGGTAAGGCTAAATTACTGTTTGATTAAGAATATTGTTTTGAATATTTACTGTTAATGTTAGGTTTGGGGGCTTTTCTGGAGGTGAGAAAAACGAAGTATGCAGTCTCATAATATGGTAGCGGGTCTTTGTAAATGGGGGTTGAGAGTTGGGAGAAAATCTATTTTAAATAAGAAAACATACCTTTTCCAAGAAATAGACTTGGGCTTCCCTGGTGGTCCAGTGGTTAAGACTCCATGCTTCCACTGCAGGGGGCGCGGGTTCCATCCCTGGTCAGGGAAGTTCAGCAGCTGCGAAAAGAAATAGACTATGACTCATTTTCGTGGCTCTAAGGAAGAAGGTCACAGCCAAAATGATACAGTATTAGAGCTATTAGCTCTGCCTTTTACACTCAGTTCTACCTTTTACACTCATCTCATTTCAGATGTAGAAATACAGAAACTTTCTAAAGTGGAGCCTTGACTGTTCAGGCCGTGAAACTCTTACGTCCAGAATTGAGAAGCTCATAGAATTAAGCAAGTTTGCCTGTTGTTGAAAAAATCATAACCTGTTTTAATGTTCTTTGAAGTCAACCTGTTAAAATAGTACAAGCTATTCATTATTGCTCTGTGAATGAGGGCAATCTGGTCATCAAAATGTCATGGGCGTTTCTTACTCATCAGATCAAGAAGTGTCTATAAATGAGATTGATAGCAGTTTGAAGCTAATGAGGTTAAAGTGGTTAATGGTACGATGATGGAGTCATAAAATCTTCCCCCAAATGTGTCTTGTCCAAATTTTTAAATTGAAAATTAAAAGGAAGGAAGGATGAACACACATGGAGTGCCCAGCATTTGCTGTGGTAACTAAAAAAAAAAATTTCTTTGGCTCCCAAAATCCATGTACTTTCCCAAATTGTGGAAAACAAAAAAATCTTCAGAGAACAAGAAAATCACTTAGGAAAGGACTTTGAATTCAATAATTAATGTAGAAGAAGGAAGCCATGTTAACTTATTTAGAAGCTCTTGGAGGTGCATATTCTGCACTGTAATTGTATGAAAAATAGGCAAATGCTGGGCAACACGGTGATACCAGGGACTATACCTTTCTGCCACTTGTTAGCTGTGCAGTCTTGGGCGAGCATCTTGACATCTCTGAGCTTCAGGACCTCACATACAGAATGGGGATAGTAATAAGAACCTTACTGGGGTTATTAATAGAATTAAATTATATATTTTAAAAGTCTAGTGAAGTTCCTGGAATATGGGCATAAAATAAATGGTAGCTAATATTATTAAAGTAATTTTTCAGTGGTTACAAAAAGGTTTATCTGAAGGTATTTTTTTTAAGTCAGATACATACTGTATGCAATAATTTAATTACATACCTTTTATTTTATACAACATCTTTGAGGGATAATGAATCAAACCTAAGTCTATTTCAATTTTCTTTAAAGGTGCAGACACAAAAAGGACTGTCCATGAATTTATTAAAGACCACAGAGACAGATTTATGCTCGAGGTAGTTAAAATAATTTCTTTCTCCCATTAGCCAAATAGAAGACTTCCTGCCTATACCTGCCAAATTTTCACCTGGACATTTTATTTTTCCATTTCATGCCCCAGATACATTGCCTTTCCTACCTTGAAGATCTAGCCTCTTCTAAACCCACTTCATTCGGGGCTTTTGTTCTCATCATTCCACCAACACCACTTCCATTGCCAAATTCAAATGGTCATTTCACAGTCTTCCCTCTACTCACTTCCAGCAGGTATTGGCCCAGGTGATCACCCTCCCTTGAAACACTTTCTTCAGCTGGTTTCTGGGCCTCTCTATGTCTTGGTTCTTCCATGGCACTGGCAGCTCACTCCTTCATAATTTTCTTGTTCCTCTTCACCCTGATCTCCAAATGCTGGAATGACCAGGGCTCACACCTCACCCCACGCTCTATCTACCCTTCTCCAGGCTGGAGGCTTTAAATTCTACTGCCCTGTTAACAGCTTCCAAGTTTACTTCTCTAGCCTGATCTTCTTTCCTGAACTCCAGCCTCACAAACGCAACTCCAGACTCAACAACTGTAATCGTAGTTCTTAACATCTCTACTTAGATGCTCCATAGGCATCTCAAACTTTGCATTGCCAGAGCTGCCCCTGCTATACCCTTCCTGCCCCTGCAGATTGGAATCTCAGGCAGTGCTCCCTATCTCTGTAAACAGCAATTCCATTTTTCCAGTTGTTTATGCCCAAAATATTGGAGTTATCCTCAACTCCTCCTTCTTACAGCCCACACCCAAATATCCTTTGGAATATATTTTTTTCCAACTATATCTGTAATCACACTATTTTTCATGACCTCCTCTGCTGCCACTGTGGTCCGTGTTGCCAGTAGCTCTCGCATGAATTACGTTAGACCTTCTGAACACAGGTCTCGCATGTTTGCTCTCTGAACTCAGCCTGTCCTCCACACCTGCCCCTCCTTTGCTGAAAACCTCTGGTGACTTTTCTGGTCCCCAGCTCACTCGCTCTCTGACCTCATTCCTACCACTCTCTACTCTGTCACTCTGCTCCAGCCACACTGGCCTCCTTGCTGTTCCTGGGACACACCAATCATGCTCTTGCCTCAGGACTTTTGCACAGGAGGCTTTTCCTTCTGGGAGGAACACTTCTCCCTCAGATATCTGCATGCTTTGCGTCCTACTTCCTTCCAGTCTCTGTTTAACGTTCACCATATCAGTGAGGCTTTCCTGGGCTAAACCCCTGCCCTTGCCCACTGGACCACTTGTTCTCCTTTAATCGACACCCTTGCTCTACTAGAATGAATACTTCGTAAAAGCAATGCTGTTTATTTTGGTCACTGCTCTATCAGTACCACTTAAAACAGACCTAGGGGGCTTCCCTGGTGGCGCAGTGGTTGAGAGTCCACCTGCCAATGCAGGGCACACGGGTTCGTGCCCTGGTCCGGGAAGATCCCACATGCCGTGGAGCGGCTGCGCCCATGAGCCATGGCTGCTGAGCCTGTGCTCCAGAACGGGAGAGGCCACAACAGTGAGAGGCCCGC